CCTCTTATAAAAAGGGTGGAAATTTATTTCTAATAGGCTTTCTATAATCTTTAACATAAAAAATCAAAATTATTCTACACTTCAGTAAGAACTGCATAATACTAAACAATTCATTTAAAAGAAAAACTTTACATTTGTATTGGAAATTCTATAAAAATACAGGAAAGTGCAAAACAAGCTACTCCAGGAAAGTGCATCGACACTTGAGATAATGGGTTTATATTGCTAACGTGTCTCAAACAATATCACTTTGGTATTAAAACCTAAGTACACTCTGGCGTCGACAGCTGCCTTCACATATAATAATATTTACATTGAGATGTTTTTATATATTTAACTTACACTTAACATTTCTAACAGAAAAATATACATTCAGTAAAGAAAAAATCCATTGAACATGTTTTTGTGGCTCTAGTATTAAATACTTATCAAAAACCACGGTAATTGATATAGCAAACTCAATGATACATACTTTCTTTCTTTTATAATAAAGAGGGCAAACGAACAGTGGCAACACAGAGGTACTAATCGACGTCAATGGACATCCACAACACGATGCAATGCCAGCCATAGATAATGGGAAATATATAATATATGTTTATCTTATTCCCTCTTTTTTCACTCTCTCTTTACTGGATGTGGCTTATGAAAGCTTACTAGATGAGCTCCACAAGGCAGCGAAACTAGACAGTAACAACTTTGTATCTACATTTTTGGTTAGCATTTAGCGAAGTATTTAGGTTAAGTGATGAAAATATAAAAGTTTTTCATTTCAATTATATCCTAAGTGCAGTTCGTGTTGCGGATGCAAAGGCTTGTACATTAAGAGCGCAGGTGCGGAGCATTAGCGACCGCACTTTGGGCTTGAAGCTGATAAATATCTCTCAGCCATTTGTCCGACTCTTACATTACAACGCGAAGAATATTTTATACTTACTACGATTCTCCTTTTTATATAAAAATATGCACACTAGATGTTTCTGTTAATTTTTATTATCAAAAATCTTTAAAGATGTTTGTTATAAAATTATACCAAAAAATGTATTGGAAATTGTAAAAGTGTGTAGAGGATTTCTAAATATCTAAAGACACGAACCACTTGAAATAACAGAAATGATATCAACAACATTACGTTGTCCGATACTTAAGGAAAATATAACAAAAGAAATTGAATATTGTATTTCTTCTCGATACTGAAGGACCGCTCCATTGACCGCGTAGTTTTTTTAATGTGTAACAACGCGTAACTAAAGCTTTGTGTAGTTTTCATAGCAAAAATATATTACACATATTCCTTGACAACTTTACTTAACTTTATAGAGAAAAGAGATTTGGGTTTTCCTTACATACCTCTCTCACTTCTACTGCGTTTTTTCCAGGACCAAAATCAAGAATAACATGTTTTTGTATTTGTGATTGTGTTTTGTTTTAAATGTTTTACACATGTATTTGAATTTCGAACATCAGTAAAAACTTCCCTTTTAATTAATCTATTACACAAACATAGAAAGTCCTCGACAAATAAACAATGGCCATCGAGCGCGCTTCGTAATTACAAAGAGAATGTTTTTAATTTGTAAGTTAAAATGTGTCCACAACACATTCGTCTGCACGTTGATTACACAAACAGTGGCCGGTGCTTATTAATTCCCGCTCTCCGCTGTTTCTGTATTCAAAATTAACGTTCATTTTGAGGCCACTCGTCTACGAGATAAGAATATTTATTCGCTGAATTATTTACGCTTTCGACAAAAAAGATTTCCTTGCTTACAATAATAGATTGAAAATATTAGCAGGAAATTATAGTTAATTAAATTATAGACATAATTGTGGTGCTAATATATTAAATAAATAATATCTGAACATACATGGTGTGTGTAAAAGTGTAATAAACGTGTTCCACCCAGTCCTCGCGTCATATAGCTATCACTTCGCTAATTGAATTACACCACTCATTCTGCGGACGGAGCGTATCGAAATAAAATCTGCGACATCAATTACCCGTGAACCACACGGGTAATTGGCCCAAAGCCGTCGTTCAAAAAGGACTACCGCCTATCTATTAATTACTTGATTTATTTCCGATTCCAGAGCGCACTGTAAATTGAGTGGATAAGATTTATTGAGAGGGTATTTTTGTAATATTTCCACTATCAACAATTATTTCATTGCAACTTTTGAAAGTTCTTAGTGTTTATTAGAGTAATGTGTTTTTACTTCTAAAGTAACTTTTGCGGTGTAGTCACATAGCGTAGCATTCGCGTCGTAGCAGTCACACAATCACTTGCTACGTAATAATCACGGCGTAGTACTCGCGATACACAAAAGCACACAGTCATTGCGTAGTACTTGCAGTGTAGTGCTCTTTGCGTAGCACTAGCAATGTAACAATCACAACAAATCACTCGGATGTTGTGCTGGTGGTCCTCTATGAAAAGATTGTCTACTTGGAAAATGAAACGGAAAAGATTTATTAACAAATATATATATTAAGTAGTAGTGTAAAGTAGTCTCAGAAGTAAATCGTCCGGCGATGTTCTTAATACAATGCGATATCAGTCACTGTCGTGAGCAAAGTACGCTCGCAGTTTCCGGTGTTAATGTACGCTGCAGCTCCTCCATTAAGGCTTTCTCGCTGGCTGCTTATTTTTATTCGTGTTTTATTAGTTAAATGTTTAATATTTTTATGAAGCTTGTATTTGTCTTTTAATTTTATGTATATTCATTAGTTAAACAGATGTTTAATAATCATGAAAAACTACACATTTATCTTAATTTCAGTCGAAGTAAAACAGAAAGTAAGGGTTTAATATAACACGGAAAGAAAGCGAGCAGCATTTTGAATAGGAACCGAAGACCTTTAACGTACATATTCCGTTAAATTGGATCCGAAACCCGGGCTAACTTGATTTGCATAAGTAAAAGTCATGATTTCAACATTGTTAGGCGAGTCCCGTGACGTTTTTCAAGTCTACCCGCGTAATTTACTTTATTTATCACTGCAATTTTGTCGGCTTTGTTTGTACAGCTTAATAAAATTTTATCAGCGCCGGATTTAAATACACAAAAGTGGAAGTTATTAAGACTATCTTAAGTTACGGGATTTTGAACAAACTCTGCAACCCACAAGCATATATAATTTTTTTTAATTTAGTAAAAAGTTAAAAATTAGTGTAATTTTTTTTTTGTAAGAGAAGGGGGCAAACCAGCGGCAACACAGAGGTTGTCAACGTCGCCTATGGACATCCGCAACGCCAGAGGAACTACAGATGCGTTCCGGCCTTTGAGGAAATTGTAGGCTCGTTTCATGAAAGACCCGAAGTCGTACTGGTTTGGAAATATTACAAAAGATTCATGGACACAAATCGGTTTATATACACATTGTAACAAGTAAAAAAAATCTTGGCTTTTATTCTCCCTCCGGTAAATCGACCTATTGTTATTGGGTTCGTTGTTAGTTTTAAAAACGAGAACACAGGTTACATCTTTTTCAAGCTTTGTAACGCGCAGTTGCACGGATTGTTACACTCGGCCGATCGACCGATGTCACAACAAAGCCGTAACCGAACGAAATTCTCTTTCCCCTCACTAAACTTATTCACTGAACAATATATCGTAACTTGTATTTTAACAACTTATTTTTTTTATTTTATTATACTATTGTTGCTATATTTGATTATTCCATTGTGTGTATAACATAGAAAAAAAATTAAAACAAAACGATTTATTAATTTTTTGGTACTGCATTTCACTATTAAGATACACAAATGATAAAAACATTGTGATAATGAAAATAAAAGAAAGAACTAGACATTAACTTGAATAAAAATCGTCGAGCAATCGGTGATGTTATTGCTTACGGAAAATCTTTTCTGAGCAATAATTTTGTTGTACATAATATGAAGCAATCAAGAGATCTAATTACGAAACAAATAAGTAAATCTACAAAATACTAAACTCATAATAAAATTAATTTCTGTTATTCGATCAGTTTTGCAACAATTTCTTACATTTTTAAAAATAGATATAAATGAATCCGAAAATACTAGCCCATCTAATAGAACAGTAACCAGTGAAGTTTCTATCGCTTTAAAATATCTCGATCTATAAATATAAAAATGTTTAATTCAACAATAAAAATGTAAAACACTACGTTTTTCAAATAAATAAGCACATAGAGAACAATTTCCTGGGACAATTCCGCCCGGATCGTCTGTCGGGCTACATTATTGAACATATAACTTACTGACTACAACTACAAAGAACTACAAGCTACATTTCCCTTTACATTCTTCTATTCGTTTCTAAATAAAATATATTTACGAATGCAGACATACGTAGTTATGCCTGAATGTAATCTAACATATGCAACCAATAAAAATATATTGCCTTAGATGTTACGGATATTTCTAAGTAATGTATCAGTTTTATCTTGATGATTAAAATAAATAATTCAAATTATAATCACCGGAATTATTAAAAGTTGCCACGAGTTCAGTCTGTTTGTTTTTTTTTTTTTCAAATCTTACATCACATTTTTTTAATTAATCAATTTTGAGAAGATTTGAAAAAAAAAACAGACAGAACTCGTGGCAATCTAGGCACTGTCTATTTCATTTAACTCTTAGTTTGATAAGTTCTAACTATGTTTTAGCTTAAAACTTTTCGGACAACGCCCTCTAGTTTCGGTTACCTCAAACTTGGTACAATTTAAAATCTTCCTAAGGCATACAAGACTCGGAGGAAAATTTTTTGCGCACGAGTTAAGCGACGCATATATTCTTAAAAATTACTGAAAAACAACAATGAATTGAATTATATTATATCTATGTATCTTAATAATAATTGTCCTAAAATCATATTTTCAAAATAGTCACCATCGCCAGAGAGAGATAGAACGGACAGTAATTGAGGTCTCGCTCTTCGACAATTTTTAACACCTCAATCCTGTTCTAGTAGTATATCCACGTGAAAACCAAAGACCAAAGAGTGACAGTGACATACAACCAGCGACAATAGCTCTGTAACTGACAATGTCAATCTATTGTCAACATCAAATGAATTTTCCCGCATTATTTAGAAAATAAATGTAATAAATCTTTAAAACGAATTACAATAAAATAGTCAATTGTTTCCATATTTTTTGATAATTTCAACTAAAGCTCATGGGTTTTCAGGAAAACCTCGTACTTCAATATATAACTAAAGTAATGTCTAAAGCCGGGCACCTAACCAATACAGTTCGCGCAGCAAAAAAGAGGCCCTTTAGAGTCTCAATAGAAGGTAATATTGGATCTGGAAAATCAACATGCATTAAATACTTTGATAGATTTCGCAACGTTGAAAAGCATGGGGTAAGTCCCTTACATTAACTTAAAAACACGTCGACATTACTTCCATATTGAATGGAATGACTGTATTGTTCAATATACATATAATTTACATCATTTTAGCAATAATACTAAAATTTTACCAGCTCTAAATTATTTAGGAACCAATTCAAGAATGGCGCAACGTAAATGGACACAACTTGCTAGGTTTAATGTATAGTGATATGAATAAATGGATTTTCGCGTTCCAACATTACGTACATCTAAGTAGACTGAGGATCCAAGCAAGTCCACCTTCACACCCTGGCATCACCGTCAAGATGTTTGAAAGGTACCACATTCCACTCTTAATTCTCTTTCTAATAGTAATAGTCAACTTTTGTCTTATAGACCTTTACAAGATTCATTTGTTTTGGTTGAACCTTGTTGTTGCTTCTTAAACTTATGAAACCTTTATTTCGTGTGAATCTCAGAAGTCTGGAATATTTTGTGAAAAATTATGAAACTTATTCATTTTAGATGTTAGAAATTGGTATAATTTGAGTAAAGGGCCAGACAATAATTTTATGTTCTTGGTTAAACTGTAAATTATACTTCCTAGAATTCATTAGTTGTACTTAATATGGTAGATTAAAAAGGAATTAATTGTGATTGTCTTTTATTACAGATCAGTACAAAACAGTAGATATTGCTTTGTAGAGAATGCAAAAAAACAGAATTTCCTCCAGGAGCCAGAATATCAAGTATTACTTCAATGGTTTGATTACACCGAGAAGTCTTTAGACATCAGCTTAGATCTTATAGGTACAGTAACATTTTCGTTGATTAACATTGTCGTCCTTGTGAAATTTAATAAATATCTGGTAATAATAAATAGCCTATGTCACTTAGAAAAAATGTAGCTTTGTAATTACAAAAAAATTTTCAAATCATATCTAGTACTTTTTGAGTTTATTGGTTACACAAAAATACAATTCTCTTCTCTTCATATTTATAAAGATAATAAAAAAACCAATGAAAACACTGGCAATAAATCATGAATGCAGTGTTTTATTTTCAAAGAGAATGAAAAGAAGTATTTATTGTTCATTATTTGTGGAAAAAAAAAACTGCTGCCATTTAAAAAAGTTTTTTACAATTTCCAGTATATCTCAAGACTACACCACAAATAGTGTGGGACAGAATGATGAAGCGCGGCAGATCTGAGGAGTCTGAAGTGCCTTTGGAATATTTGCAACAGGTAAGTTTACTTTGATGTTAATTATTTTTAAATACATTATAGTTTTTGTTAATATTCTCTTAGCCTCATATTGTAAAAAATACACAAAATCGAGTATGCTTTAATTTTTGTAGTCAATTCACCAAAAGAAGCTGACCCAAACACTGTATTACCTCAAAAGATACAGTTAGATGATGTTTACTTAATTATGTTTTAAATCTACCTGCAGCTGAATATATAATATGTATTACCAGACTTATACCAAAGTAGCCATTTTAAAAGCTTTAGAATTGCTACCAATGTATGTTTGGGCTTAATTGATCAGTTTTTATGAATTTGCCCTTAAATGTTTATTATTTTCAAGGTTCACGACTCATACGAAAATTGGATAAACTCGCCTGATATTGGCTGCGAAGTGCTAACTATTGACGCTGACAGAGATTTAGATTGTGTTAAAAAAGATTTGGAGAGATATGCATATAAAATCCTCGGAGGCAATCATACTAATTGATAAAAAATAATTAATTTCAAATCAATATCACAGTATTAGGTTCTTAATGTTGTTATTTCTATTTGTTAAGGATGTCTTAAAGTTTCTAACAAATTACTATCTTAATTACAAACACAATCATTAAGATTTTCAATTGTTACTATATTTTAGGATGACTTAAAGACCTCAATATACTTAGTTTAAGAGAATATTAATCTATTTGTATTGATAAAACTCATAATATTGTTATTAAATGTGTTAAAATCAATTATAATTTTTACATATTAAAATGCATCTTTTAAATTACAAATTTTAAGCTAAAAATATAGACTGAAATACATGTAAAGTCTACCTCAGATAAAAGTGATTGAAAAAGATGTATTAACCATATTAAATAAATAAAACAAATTTTAAATGAGATGTTTATTTTATTTATAACAAATAAAAATAATTTATTCTATACAACCTAGTTTCAGGACTTATCTTGGAGCAAATATGTAAAAATAAATTGACAATATGATATATCAAATAATATTTTAGAGTAAATTGTGAAATTTTACAATATATACAAATTAAGAAAATAAATTGACTAAAACAGTTAATTTAAAAAAAATCTAGCATAGTAGCTCTATGACACTGCAGAAAAAAGGGTAAAAACTGTTCCAAAATAGGTCCTAAAACATTATTTACACTAACAGAAATCTAACGGTAAAGATGGTCGGCTCTGATGTTGGTTGCTATCTCACTCTCCCACTTGTCACCGTTCAACAGCAACTTCTCCTTATTATAGAGAAGTTCCTCATGAGTTTCAGTTGAGTACTCGAAGTTGGGGCCTTCAACTATAGCATCGACGGGACATGCTTCCTATAAATGTATAAATATTGTATATACAGACTATATAACTATAAAATTATATAACACACTTCTAACCTTGTTTCATTCTAATCTTATATATTAGTAGGTAAATAAAGAAACAATTTCATATAATACCCATTACTATAACAATTGTTTTACCCTGATTGTGTGATATAGTAATATATAATATAGTGCTAAAATGGGTTTTACCTAAAACATTTTGGATTTCACTCACAAAATGTACAGTTGTTGAAGAAATATCTTTTTTTTTTATTGTAAATGCGGATGTTTCAATGAATAGATGGTTTCTTGTTATAGTTTGCCATCTAAATTTATTCTGGATGGTTTCTTGTTATTCTATGCAGATGAGAGTTGCGGGTAATAGCTAGTTCTATCCACGTGAAATATAATTTTGTATATAATAACAGTAAATACCTGGCAGAAACCGCAGTAGATGCATTTAGTCATATCAATGTCGTAACGAGTTGTTCGTCGTGAGCCATCCTTACGTTCTTCAGCTTCTATAGTAATGGCCTGAAATAAAATTAAAGAATTTCAATCATTGCAAAGCAATTCTGAATAGGAACTAATCAAAATATTCTATAAATATTAGTGCCATTCCAGCCAGAAATGATTTTAAATGTTTTGCCTATGGTTTTTGAATGGGTGCAATTAAAAAAAAATAGATATATTAAGGATTCTTACATTTAAAGCATAATAGAGATGTTATAAACATACCTGAGCAGGACATATGGCTTCACAGAGTTTGCATGCAATGCATCTCTCCTCACCAGATGGGTACCGACGGAGAGCATGTTCACCGCGGAATCTTGGTGACAAAGGCCCCTTTTCAAATGGATAGTTGATGGTCGCAGGCTCCTGGAATCATCAAATATTATGTTTTTAAATTCTTTGTGTTACTTTCCTATAATTGTGTTTACATCTTAATTTCTTTTTTCTTCATACATCAGTGTTTCGTATTTAAAGTGCATGAACTAAATTTCAATGGTGCCATATAACAAACAGATAAGTTATTTTCTTGGGTCAGAATTTTATATAGTCATAGTACTGTATCAAAGACATATACAACAATCAGACACAAGAAAAAACGGATTTTATGTTGTTAATCAAATAGGTAGGAAAATTATAAACAATTTGTATAAATAAAATACAAATAGTTGCTGTATTATATTGAAAAAGTTTGAATGCTCTTATGTTGATTAAAATTATTTTACAACATCAATTTATCTTCTTACTAACTTGTTTTAAGTTTTTAACTATAATTTTACCTTGAATAAATGGGCTAGAGTAACAGCCATACCGCGGGCCAATTCTGTCCAAAAGACAGTTTGTGCAGCTCTGTCAGACATTTCCTTGACAGACATGTCTGGATCATGAGGATTGACATACATATATCCTGGCATGTTCGGCGGATAAGACTTTTCTCCTTTGCCATCTTGATTAGACGAACTATATTGAGCACAACGAAGTAACAAGCTATTAGTCCCGGCTGCGCGAACTGTAACATATAAAAGCTATGAAAACAATGGATAATATGTCAAATCAATAAGCGATTTATGCGTAATATCTTGCGTAAAAATAGGGTTTGTTCCACACACAAACAAAACAACCAAGACGCAATTAGGTTATAAACAAAAGTTGCGTAACCTATGAAGTATTTTTTTACTAATATAAATATAAAAAAAGTATAATCAATGATGCAACATAAATCAAGCTAATTTACCTCGCGCTGAAACCGAAAATAATTTAGCTAGAGACATTTTCTTTCAATGTATTAATTAAATATAACTCAGGACTTTCACTGAAGTCGCTGAAATGTCAATTTTAATTTTGTCAAATGTCAGTGTCAGATTTACATTGATTAATATACGTTCATAAATCAAGGTTTTTTAGAATTTGGGGTGAGTTAACATCTAAATTATACAAAATCATTAACCAACGATCTTTATTACAAGAGTGGAGAATTTGATATTAGATATTCCTATGCAGCAAAACTAAAGTGCTATGAAGTTTTAAGCGACCAGCCATAATCGTTATTATTTGTTTTGTTCTGTGGTACCGCTACATACGTCAAAACATTGCAGTGACGTGACGTTTACAAATTCTTGTTGGTGTGTCGTAAACTGCGAAAAATTCGCCACGCAGAATGGGAGACACGCCAGCTTCAGATTTGGAGTCCAACAAAGGAAGCCCTAAGGCTGAGAATGACTCTGAACTGGTAAACATCTCGCTAAACCGCAGTAATTTAATGTATAATCGGTTACTTACTTGTAAGTTTGTTATCAGGACCGGCGTCCCTTTGGTGGGCTAGAGTTTCAAGTATCTGAAGTAGTAGGAAGACTAGAAGCCGTAGTGAATGCTCAAGATGCGCCCGAAGAGGAGAAAAAGCCGGAACCGCGTAAGATGAGCTGCGGTTTCTTCGAACCTGAAGAAAGTTCTATGGATGAAATTCTAAAGGTTTTAGAGGACTTGGTGATAAAGACTGACCCTAATTCTGAGTGTCTGGAGCCTCCGTTGCTACCTACTGACGCGGTGACTCGCGCGGCGATTCTTTCACACAGTATAGCTGCATTATTTGGAAGACTGGAGAGGTCTCATGCTATGAGACTAGGAGCTCATATTGCGAGTGAAACCACTCGTTGGATGGCACATATGTTTAGGTAAGAATAAACCTATTAAACAATGTTTTGTTACATAATCTATACCTATAATTCTATACTAATGTTATAAAGAGGAAAGATTTCAATATTTGTATGTATTGGAATACTAAAAAAACTACTGCAACGATTTTATAAATTATTTCACCATTAAGCAGAATAACTGTTATTAGCTATGTTTCTTTTTTTATTTTTATTCCACATGGACTAAGACAAGCAACAGCTAGATAATTATAACTTAAATGAACATTTGGAACTGTCTCTTAATTTATTATTTCAAGCAATGTAAATTACCCTATTGTCCATCAATTAGAATACTTTCTAACTATTAAAATATGTGGTTTTAATATTTTTAAACCAATAACCCAGTGAAATGTTTATGAAATCTTTCTAAACATATTAATTCTTAATTAATGAAGAAATAAGCAGTTTTTAAAAAAGAAAAGCGAAACATAATTTATAGAATAAATAAATTAATTAATATATTTCGTGCCACATCTAGTATACTATATCTCGATGCAACATAGTAATAGTATTAGTTTGTATACATAATGTTTAGTAGCTACCCGCATTTAGTAAATGTAAATTAATTGTCAGTACACTTGATTAAAATATTATATTTTGCATAAGTTATTACCTTAAGTAAGTAAATTTTTTATTAAGGTAAATATTCCTAAACCATAAACAGCTACATCTGCTATTATGGCTCTTGTACTCTATTATGAGTGTGAAACAAAAGCCAATTGTCTCTTATTATCAGTTTCACCTTGAGTAAGTACATAAGTTATGTATTGGATAAGATTATGCATCAATTAACTCCCATGTTAACATAACAGATAGGTACAATATATCACCTTGAAAATATATGTGAAACATGATTTTGATAACTAGCTTTGGTTCGACTCTGTCCATTTGCAGTTAATAATAAGAAATCTAAGTGTTCTTCCAGACTACATCTATGCCAAATTTCATCAAGATCCGTTTAACAGTGGTAGAGCCCGCTTTAACATCTTCGCACGAATGGGTCGGCTCGCCCCCAGTAATACCACGACCACATTAAAAACAGGCCTGAAGTGGAAGCAGTTCCGCGTTTCGTCTGATGAGTGTGGTGCCGGAGGCCTAATTTTAGTCCCTTTCCCTTTCCACCCTTTTCTTAAGAGGAAAGGATGGGGAGGAAAAGTGGGTTTGACAGTGGAGGAGACGCATAGGAAGGGGAAATGTCATCTTAATGTGCGTCTCCTCCTCCGACAATTAAGGGTAGGCAACGCATCTGCAATTGCAGATGTCTATGGGCAGCGGTCGCTTCGCCATTTTGGCGATTTCAGGTGGCCGGTTGCTCGTTTGCCACCTAATGTTATAAAAAAAAAGCAGTTTAGGCTACAAACTCTAATAAACATCTATCCATCTAAACTTAGTCTGTTAATATAGTAGATTTTTTAAAATGGGAATTGTATTGTAAATTTTAAATTAGGTAGTTTTCCACTTAATGCAATTTTACAGCATGACCAATTGTTAATTACTCTCAGTGTTGAAATATACTCATGCAATGTTAGTTCAATTTGTGTGAGGAAACATTTGTTGTTAATCACTTTTCATGTTTCTACACACTAGCATTTACCCACGGCTCTGTCTGCTCAGAAATAAAAAACCTTAATAAGTAGCCTGTGTTCTTCCAGCCTAGGTGCAGGCTATAAAATCTAACAAACATTTGCATTTGATAGAGTTTGTAACATAAACTGATGTAGAAGGTAGCCTGAAGGCATACCTAGACTACTTGCTTTTTTTTTAAATTTCACTCAGACAGAGTCGCGAGCCAAAGCTAGGATTCATATAAGATTTAGTTAACATAATAAAAAATATAGTGAAATACATCAACAATGCTTATGTGATCTAGGTTGGTAGACTACAATGCATTCTATCACCAAGACAACATGGAAGGGCTGGTGAGAGTCACAAGGATGTTACTTCATCACAGATATCCAAGATATTTAGAAGATGGAGGTAAATTTTATAATTATACTATTTGTTACCCATGACTCCCTCCACAATATTAAAATACACATGCAAAATGTATCATGGAACATACTATGGAACCTGACATTTTTCAGGTATGAATTGTATCCCATGTGTTACTCCAGAATTAGTTTTATATCTGTGCCAAACAGCAATAAGATATAGTTGAATTGTTGCAGAATTATCAAGTAAACATGAAATCACAAAATTAATGTATCCCATGGGAAGCAACTATTTCTAGGTTAAAAAATAACCTATGTGTTCTTCCAAACTATTCTTTACATTTTTTGCCACATTTCATCAAAATCCATTTAGCCTTTTGGCTACAAACTCTAACAAACATTCATATATATTCATAAAATTTAAATATTTTTTTTTACCTAATCTTAAGTCTTATATGTCTTTGAATGTGTTTTTCAGCTCTGGCATTCAGCAATCGCCTGCCGTGTATATACAGCTGTGTGGCGAGCCCCTTAGTTGTAGTCCAACACTTGTGTAGACAACTCAGTCTGCCGCTGGCTTGTGTGCGACCCGTGCCTGTACATCCTTCAGGTAACAAATATCCCATAGGTAACATCTATCTATACCTTTGGTAACATTTGTCTGTTCTAAAATAATTCGTAAAGAAAACATAAGGTTTTGATTGGAATTCATTAGAATCACAAGTCCCAATGTTCAATGATTATTTTAGCAATTTTAAGATAATCCATTGAAATTTTTAACGTTTTTAGTTTTTACGAAAATTGAATAAAAGAGAGATTAATTTTAATATAGATAGCTATTTACAATTTTTTAATTTATCTTAATACAAGATGTAATCATTATTTTGTTGCTAAATTTACTTATGTTAAATTCGATTTATCGCATACTAGCTGTTCCCGTGCGGCTTCATCCGCATGTATTTATAAAAACTTTATTTGATTATTTACAATTGTCACATTCTCAACTGCAAATGTCAAAACTCAAATGGACAAATGACCATGGCAACCTTGCTTCCTTGATGTTGGCAGCAACTTATGGTCTCCTTCCCACATGAAAGTTTTTTCCAATTTATTTACTTCCTAAGTTTGATATTGTCAAAATATAGAGCCTAAAACGTGACGTAAGTGTAGGGATTTTTATTAAAAAAATAATAATTCAAAAATATGCTGTGATTGCTGACATCCTACGCCACAAAGTAGCGTGTGTTTACTTATAGAAATAGATTAAGGTGTCTGAGTCATATGAAAGAGTTGAAAGTAGAAAGGGCGTGTAGGTCGCGGTATGGACACGGAGGCGTTGGAGCGGCTGTGCGAGGAGGACGTGGCGGCGGAGCGCACGCCGCTGCTGGTGCTGGGCGAGGCGGGCGCGGCGCCGCTCGGCTGCGGCTCGGCGCTGCGCCCGCTGGCCGCGCTGTGCCGCGCGCGCGCCCTGCATCTGCACCTCCGCGGCCACGCCTTGGCGCTGCCCGCCGCTATCGCCACACAAGAGGTAAGGAAACCGATCGATTACATTCAATCGATCCAATACGAAATCTCATTAGGTCAATCTGACCAATGGGAAACACCCAATATATTTGTAACAAACAGGAAAATACACAAATGTCAGTGCAATATGTAAACTACAAATTCTTTTTCATTGATATTCGTTTGCGGTGTTCGAGATATGTAGTAACGAATATCTACATACACATCACAAAAGTGTCTGATTTCTGATTATTTACTAATCAAATGGTTGATGTGATCTAAATCTGTACTTACATGTTTTCAATTTATCTTTATGTGTATTTAACTTTGCTACAGACTTACAGTGTACCGGATTCTGTGGCGCTGACACCTGGGCCATGGTTTGGAATACCAGGCCTACCGACTGTTGTATCCTTTTATACACACAATACAAATCTTTTTCAAACATATCTTTAAGTGTATTATTTTTTAAATTCGATTGATAGAGAAAAGTAATAATTTTAACTATTTTATTGATAAAATATACCGACTCGAAGGACCATAATTTTAAAAATTATTTGTCGTCTTGATATAGTATTTTTTCACATTTCCTTAGCAATTATACAGACATTTTATAAAATACCTGAAGCAGTGACTGCAAATGATCATTCCAAGTCTGTTAGTACGGTAAGTGATGACATAACCTCTGATCTGTAGATCATTCAGGGTTCGTTTGAAGCAAATCAGTAAAATGACTCACGGATCTCTTGTGTGTACGTGCATACATTTGTGAAACTTTTAATTGAAAATGTCAAATGTAAGTGCTCAAATGACAATGAAGACCTTTGTTTATATTTTATAACATTAAAATAGATCAGGGGTGGCGAACCTTTAAGCATCAAAGTGCCATTTTTTTTAAAGAAATGTTTATGCGGTTTTAGACGTTCCATCAAATATTTTTGACCGATTATTATGTCAATTTCATGCATAGAATAGATATTGCGTTCGTTTTTATGTAATATCTACTTTATTATTTTTCATAGTGTCTTATTATCATCTATTTGTTCAAAATATTATGTCGTGTGGCATTTGGCATTGGGCGCGGTGTGCAGGGCGCGGGGCGCGAGGGCGCGCTGGCGGCGCTGGCGGGGCTGTGCGGCGGCGCGCGGCTGCCGGCGCTGGCGCTGTGGGCGAGCATCCGCGCGGCGGGGGCGCGGCGGCTGGCGCGCGCGCTGCACGCCGCCTTCCGCTCCGCGCACGCCGTGCGCGCGCTGCTCGCCGCCAGGGGGCTGCGCATACTGGTACGTACTACATCCATTATGGGGAAAGTGACTTACAACACAGAGGGATGGACGAAATAACTTATAGGGAGTCAAGAAGGTGCGTGCGGAGTCGAAACTGGCTCCTCCCACGATTCTACCCGAATCCCCCGAGGGTGGGGCCATGGGTGGAAGTGGCTTGCTAACTTAACTCTATTACTGTATTAAAGGTAGAATTTTTATTGAATTTTGTTATTCCAGAGTGAACGACCCGGCGGTGATGAACCACCGAATGTTGACATTGTTGTAAGTATTTCACACATAATCATTATTTGAATTTCATGTAAATGTTGACAATGAAAGTTTTTAACGATATTAAAAAAAAATATTCTATTTACTCAAACACGTATGTACAATTCTTTGTCTATTAACCATAGTTTTCTATTTTAAATATATTTTTTTGTTTTTATAAGATGTATAAGTTAAGGATACGTATGGTATAACAGGACGCGATAAGCCAGGCGTCAGCGTGCGTGGCGTTCCAGTTCGCGCCGGAGGGCGGCGAGGGGGGCGGGGCCGACAAGCCGCCGCCCTACTACGACAAGCTCAACTCCTGGCTGGGGCAGGTGCTGCAGCGGGAGGCAGACATGGTAACATAATATTCGTGATATGTCTAGAACTAGTCGCATAATCATACTAATATTGTAAATGCGAAAGTTTAGATGGATGGATGTTTTTTTAGAGTTTGTAGTCTAAACGGCCAAACGGATTTCGATGAAATTTGCTATAGATGTAGAGGATAGTCTGGAAGAACACATAGGCTACTCACTTTTGTATTTTTTAATCCATGCGGACGGAGTTCCTGGCGTAAGCTAGTTATAAATAAATGTTGTCACGACATATAATTTATTTTCAAGATAATAATATAGAAGTGTATATAGGTCACCTTAAAACCAAATCCTTGATTTACATGTTGTATTTAAATTACTAGAAATGTTTTAACTGTCTCATTTTTAATCGCAAATCCGCGTTTGCGCCGAGATTTCTCCGAAACAGTTGATCGTATTTTGATGGTTAGGTAATGAATATTATAGTCTATTTTTTCTCACAAAGTTGGTAGTGCCCGCTTTAACATGTTAGCACTGCAGGGCACGCCCCCAATACCACGACCACACAGAAGACAGCCGTCAAATGGAAGCAATTCCGTGTTTCGTCTGATGAGTGTGGTGCCGGAGGCCTAATTTAAGTCCCTTTCTCTTTACCGCCTTTTTCTTATAAGGAGAGGATGGGAAGGGGAAGTGGATTTGACGGCGGATGAGATGCATAGGAAGGGGAAATATCCTCTTTATGTGCGTCTCCTCCTCCGTCGAATAAGGGTAGGCAACGCATCTGCAATTGCGGATGTCTATGGGTAGCGGTCGCTTCGCCATTTTGGCGAATTCAGGTGGCCGCTTGCTCGTTTGCCATCTTATGTTATAAAAAAAACTTGAATTGTGTTAACAGTGAGTTAATTAACATGTGTAGATAACAATCGAGGTGTGCGAGAGCGAGTCGCACGGCGTGGTGCTGCGCTACTGCCCGCTGGAGGGGCGGGGCGTTGGGGGCGTGTCGGGGGCGGAGGCGGAGGGCGAGGCGCTGGCGGCCTGGGCGGGCGTGCTGGACGCGCAGCTGCAGGTGCTGCACGCCACGGTGGCGCTGCGCGAGCCCTTCCGCCGCCGCCTGCAGCACCACCCCTGTCTGCGCCTCGTGCACGTGCCCGGCTGGGCGGGTCCGTATACTTTGTACTAGTAGACCAGAACCACTGAACTAACATTTAATACAATGGTTCTCAATCTTAAGAACATATAAATTGTGTTAACCCAAGGTTTAGAATCACTGAGCTAAGACTTAATACAATGGTTTTCAATCTTAGGAGATCGCATAAATTGTTTTACCACAAGGTTGAGAACCACTGAAGTAACACTTAATGCAATGGTTCTCAATCTTTAAAAATCGCGGTGTTTTCTTAAATCAAGGTTGAGAATCACTGATCTAATACTTGATACTGTGGTTCTCAACCTTTAGAGGTTGTAAAAATTGTTTTAACACAAGATTAAAAATCGATGACCAAACAATCCAATAATTTTCAATCTTTGAAGCGGAAAAAGTTTTAGCAAAATGTTGTGAACCACTGACCTACTAATTAATACTTTAATACACAATCTTTGAAGATCGCGAAAAATGTCTTAGCAAAAGGTTTTGAACCACTGACCTAACAATACAGTGGTTCTCAAAATTGTGATAAAAAATAACTTATGTAAGGTCATTGAGTCTTGATAAGTATGTGAAGGTGTAACTGAAACAGCGCTTGCTTAATGCAGACTGGTTTATTGACGTCATGTAGCTGACCGTTCCTTTTCATGTATAGTACAAGCGCATACATAACAAGTCTGTAAATATAAATGGGGTCTATAGGTCTCTGCATGATGTTGATATTCCTGCGTTGGGGGTGGAAAGTCCTTTAAAAAGGGTAAACGGGTAGTAATAGGGTATACGCGTGTAGGTCTGGGCGGAGTGCGATACGTGGGCGAGGGCGGGGGCGAGGGCGCCAGTGCGGAGGAGCTGAACGCGCTCAACCGCCAGCTGGTGGACACGCTGCGCCTCACCGACGGCGCCTTCTCCTGCGGGGACGGAGACGACGGCATGGACTGCATCAGGTCACAAATCTTTCTAATGCGAAAGTTTAAATGGATGTTTGCTAGAATTTGTAGCCTAAACTGCTGAACGAATCTCAATGTCGGCATAGAAATAGGATATAGTCTGAAAGAAGACATGTTTTTTTTTATTGCACGCGGAATAAATCTTGGTTATGGTTAAGTATGTAATTTTGACAAACAAAATCAAATTTTGTAAAAATGATGTATTTGCATAACTACTAATAAATGAATTTAAAAAAAAATGTCTGTCTTTTCAGAATTTCTCAAATTAAATCTTAATTTATTTTAATTATACACATATTAACACTGGAGCAAAATATTTTGTCGTGAAATAATTACTCACTAGTACCAACACACATTTGTAATAGAAACAGTATTGTGATCGCGCTAAAATGTGTCTTAATGTGAAGGCAATAAGGTTGATAATGCGCGCAGGTTCGGCATGGTGACGGCGGACACGGACGTGGAGGAGCTGCTGGAGCTGGTGGTGGCGGCGGGCAGGGAGGTGGAGGACAGCTCGCGGGCGCTCACTGATATGACTGAAGTACTCAAAAAGGGTCAGTTGCGTAGTAACGAAGTTATACTAACGGTTAATGAGTTCGTGTTCGTTTTACTTATTTCTTCTTTAAAGCTTATCGCTTAAATATATTCTATTGTTCTCAGCTTGGTTATAGACTTACAAAGATCTTCACACTTGGCAATTTTGTAAACTAACAATGTCATTTTAAAACAAAATTTTAACCAATGAGGGAGTGGCTACTGCGTGAATGAAAGTCGACATTTTTGTAACTTAAAATTACAGCATACGCTTTGGTCTTGTTTTAATTTTTTTATATATTAACGGCAATAAATCATCAACATGAGAGTATTTCGAAAAACGTAGAAATTTTTAGCTTACTGTTAACTCTAAGAACAGACCCATGTCGTTCTAGATATTATTAAAGAGGGGCGTGAATACATAATGAAACAAGCTTCAGATTCAGACTAATTTAACACTATTTTATTCCAGGTATAGAGGAGGCGCAGGCGGAGCTGGAGCGCGACGCGTGGCAGGAGGGGCTGCTGCGG